CAGTCATTCACCCTTAAATGTGGTGTTAGCTGTGGGCTTTTCCTATATGGCCTTTGTCCAATGGAGTTTGTTCTCTTTTATTCCTAGTTTGTTGAGTATTTTGTCATTAAAGAGTTTTAGATTTTGTCAAAGCCATTTTTTGTATCTATTTTGATGGTCATGTGGCTTTTTGTCCTTTCTTCTATTAATATAGTGTATTACATTAATTTTCAAATATCGAACCAACCTTACATTCCTGGAAGGAATCCCACTCAGTCATGGTGTTATAGTTCTTTTTATCTGTTGCTGAATTTTTATTTGCTATTATGTTGTTGAAGACTTTTGCGTCTATATTCATAAGGGATATTAGTCTCTAATTTTACTGGAATTTCTTTGTTTTTGGTAACAGGATAATGCCAGCCACACAGAATGATTTGGGGAGTATTCCCTCCTATTCTTTTTGGAAGAGTTTGTGAAATATTGGCATTTATTCTTTTTTTAATGTTTCACAGAATTCACCAGCAAAACCATCTGGGCCTTGCCTTTTCTTTGTGGGTAGTTTTGTTCTTTCATTAATAATTTGATCTCTTGTTATAGGACTATTCTGATTTTCTAATTCTTCTTGAGTCAGTTTCAATAGTTTGTGTCTTTCTAGGAATTTATCTATTTCATCTAAGTTATCTAATTTGTCAGCATTCAGTTGTTCCCTTATGATCATTTTTATTTCTGTAAGGTTGGTATTAATGTACCTCTCTCATAAGTTTTTTATAATTTGTTCAAATCAGGATCCAAACAATGCCAATACATTGCATTTGATTCATTTGTCTCTTAGGTCTCTTTTATTACATAGATTTGCCCCCTCAATCTCATTTTTCCTTGATATTTATTTATTGAAGACACCAAGTCATCTGTCCTTTAGGTTTCCCACATTCTAGATTTTCCTGTTTGTGTTCCTGGGAGTCTCTAGCATGTTCTTCTATCCCCTAGATACTTGATAGTGCTGTATGCTTTATTCTGATTCAGGTTTGAATTTTTATTTTTTTTAAGATTGGCACCTGAGCTAACATCTGTTGCCAATCTTTTTATTTTTTTCTCTTCTCCCCAAATCCCCGCCCCCCCCACCCCCAGTACATAGTTGTATATTCTAGTTGTAGGTGCCTCTGGTTGTGCTATGTGGGGCGCCACCTCAGCATGGCCTGATGAGCGGTGCCATGTCCGCACCTGTAATCAGAACCAGGGAAACCCCGGGCCGCCAGAGTGTGTGAACTTAACCACTCAGCCATGGGGCCAGCCCCTGGTTTGAATTTTTTGGCAAAGGTGCATCATACATCCATAGGAGGCACATCATTTCCAATTGTCCCTTTTTATGAAGTTGGCAGTCATCGATGACCATTGCCTAGGTTCATTATTATAACTGGAAGAGTCTGGTTGAAGGCAGAATAAGTAAAGTGGAGCAGGTGAACACCATCAATCTGTAGTACGTGAGATCTTTGGAAGTTCTCTTGGGATCGTGAGCTCTACATTCTACACTATTTTCAGAACCTTGGAGTCAGGAGATGGAATCTACTCCTGGTTCTGCCACAAACTAGCCGAGCATCCCTGGCAAATCATGCTTCCTGTTTGGCCTGGGTTTTCTTATCTACAGAATGGGGGCATAGACTATACACGAACCTCTAAGGTTTCTTGCTATTCTAGCGTTCTCTGACTAAACACTTAAGTAGTGGACTTAATCTTTACCAAATATGATTTAGGAGGATTAAAAAGGAACTGCTGACATTATATTCTTCCCATCTCATACCAAGGGCCTAAAAACTTTATGGGTTTTTTATGGGTTTTCTTGATTTTTCCGACAGTTTTGAGGATAATTTTTTATTAATATCTTCAGCCATACCTGTTGTTATCTATATTCTGATTGTATTTTACTCAGCAACTGATTGACAGATGCCTGTCTTAGGTATCAGTTCATATAGAAAGTGCGGTTTGGGCATAGAAAGCTTTCTGGAAGCAAATACACCAAAATATTAGCAAGTGATTCTCTCTGGGTGGTAAAATTATGGTTCATTTTTTTAACTTAAGTCTGTATTCTTCATTTTATTCTGCAAACATGTTTTTTTTAAAAAGTCATTCTTAAACGATTTGATAGCGTATTTTTGACAGCATGCCCTAACAAACAGAAATCACTAAATTCTGAGTAAGAAGATTTCTTTCTCTTCCTATGATTCAGGTAGGCATTATCTTCCAGTCTAGGTTAGCCTAAATACTTTAGTAATAGGTACTTACATCTAATTAGATAGCCTTATTTAATCTTCTTCAGTAATCTCAGTGAAAAAGAAAATATACTATGCCTACTTAAATGAAGATTCAGGAAGAACAGCAGCAATACATACTATCAACGTCTGTGTCATAGCCCATATGGAAATCTGGATTTGCACTTTTTAGGTAACACGTTAGTCTCTTTGCTGGAGTAGTGGTGTGTTCTACAGAAAAGTGTGGGCAAAAGGCGGGGTGTGTCTTTTGTATATGTTGAAAGAAGGAGATTAGAAACTACTTTGCTAAATCGTGTTCATAACAACTCCCTGGAGTACAATTACTCTCTGCTTGACGTACCTGGTCAGTATGATCCACAGAAGGAGACAATACAGGTGTCGGCCTTCCTCTCATGGGTTTCCCCACCTGGCAAGGTGTTATGCTGCTGGTGTGCCCCTCTGTAGACACCTTGATGGCAGTTACTGGAGAACTGGTAGAGTCAGAGGTGCTCTCATAGCTGTCAACTCACTGTGTGACCCAGATGAGTCATTTAGCCTAGTCACAATCACCAAGGTCACTTCATATTTAATGGAGAGGCTACTTCAGTTTCCAATGTAGTCACAACTAGTGAAACTGATATTACAAAAACCCACTTCTCAATAACAAAGGCAGTATGAAAGTCAGCCTTCTTACCACGAGAAGCATGACCAATCCAGGTGGTTCTGTAGCCAGCTCTGACGCAAAAGAAATGATTGAATAGCCCTTTAAACCTTACCTGTTGCCCAAAGTGTCATAATCTGGATCTGTTCAGGCGTTTTGAAGACCATTCCTTATATCTACTAAGGACAAAGGCCACATGCCAAAAAGTAGGTAACCTGACATAGAGCTTTAGTTTGGGGATTTTCTTTTGAACTGCCATCAGTGCGGTCGCTCAAGTAACATTGGTCCATGCCAATTCACAAGTGGACTCTTGTGCCAGCGGCACAATCAAGCCAACCAAACGCAAAGAACCATTTAGAGACATGCAAAACCAAGTGAGGGAGCAATTGGCTTTCATTTTGTCCATTATCTAATAGCCTCTCCTTTGCCAGAATTTGACTTGCTCCTGGGTATGCAGATCTGAAAAGATACAATTTTTACCCTCAAGGGAGTCAGTTTAGTAGGGAAAACAGAAATTACTAGACTATACAGTTATTACAATGATGGACTATCAAAAGGGACACTTAGTAGGTGTGGGTGGGCCAAAGAAAACTAAGAAGGAATGAAGGGAGTGTTCTTGAGCCAAACCAAATAAACAAAACTGAAACTCACCATTATGACAAACCCACTCTCAGAAGTAGAATATTGATTTAGACTAGTTCTCATTTGGAAGGGTTTATTTATTCTAATAATTTCAAGCAATCCTAAGTCTTTCCATTTTAACAAGGTCATTTAGAGTTTTAAAGATATTCCAAAAGTAGGAGTAGTTTGACATGTGGGCCATCATATACATACACACACACACACTTCACGGTCATCTGGCAAAGTGAGAAGAGTTCATCAGCTAGATGAGAATGTGGAAGTGAAACTTCCCCACTGTGTCTGCTTTAGTAACAGCAGCACATTCCTGCCTGTGTTTGTTCCCTTATATTAAGGATGAAATCATTCCGACCATCGACTGTAAATCTCGGGGTGCTGCCTGCCTGTCATACGTGGGAACCTTTGACGATGACTCCAGAATTGCGCAATTGTGTTTCTTCTGTTTTTGTTTTTGCCACATTAACTGTATCAGGTAGTGCTTGAAATAGAGGTGGAATCTGTTACTCCGCCAGCTTACCGTTTAACAAGTCAAATGATGCATTAAGAAAGCAAATTTTTAAACTATAAGATGTGTATTTGCCATATTTCCTGCTTAGTCTTATTTAGAGCTTTCTATGCCTGGATGAAATTCTCTTGCCTTCTACTGTTTGCAATAACTCAAGTCTTTTTTCTTCTTTTCAGATAATCTACTTATATTTATGCCATATTTTCTAGTTTTTCTTATTGCTTCATCTAATTTCTAAATAAACATAGAATACACAATATTAGTCTGTTCACAGTCACTAAACTAATATCCTCAAATGTATTTGGATTTTGTGAGTTCCCCAAATTTGCCTTTGCTCGTGCATGATTTAGCTATGTAACTTACCTCGCACTGTCTTCTCTCAAGAACTTGGCCGCACTGCATTTCTCTCCATCATTTCCCACACTGCACTGGCATTTTGAGTCATCTGGGATGAGGCACCCTCCCTGCTATTAACTGTGTAATGTTTAAACTCGGCTTGCCCGTCTCCTTTCTTTTGAATTTAAACACCACGTGAATTAAACTGACCTTACTTGCTTTCAACCTGTAATTCCTGACTGCAACAGGTAGTTGCCAACTCTTGTAACTGACAGGTTTGACTAGAAGCTGACCGTTCTTACTCCCTCTGAACTTAATATTTGGCGTTTGTATAAATTCAAAAGGCAAGATCGTACCTTTCTTATTAATGGGCCCTCTTTGTCCATTGATAATACAGTATCTCCATCAACAGGAAGTAATTGTGCCATACCTCAGAAAATAGACTCCTTTTATTTCCAAGCAGGGGAAAGCAGGAGAATTTTACCGCAAAGAGGCTACGAGCCCCTTCAAGGGATTTACCAGACGAGTGCTGGTGTAAGTTACAAAGACAGTGCTAGTCTCTACCCCGAGGAGCAGCCAGGACACTTGCCTGATGGCAGGTGGGGTAAATTGACTCTTTGTACTTGCAACTCAGGCATGTGAAGAATACAGCATCCCTCGAGTCCAGAGATTTGAGATCACCAGTGTTTATCCAGCCGGCATGATGGCGATGAGAGAAGAGAGAAACTTCAGAGCCAAGGAAGGTTTGACAGAGCCTTAAATCAATCCTGCCTTAGAATCGTGGAAAGTTAGATCAGGAAGGGACCTTAGAGACCTCTGCTCCACCACCCCTGTTTGACTGTGAGGAAGCCGAAGGCCCGCGCAGTTCAGGGATTCACCCATGGTCTTGCACTCCTGGCTAGGGACAGAGTCAGAACTGGAACTGGATAATCCTGACTCCGTTTCAGTAGTCTTAAAGCTGGCTGATGAGGAAATTTGACACCCCCCACTCTGAACCCATGTTCCCAAAGGTTTGCTGTATCCAGCTCGTGAATGCCCCTTTCTCTGAAAATTAGGCAAACAGGTTGGAATATTTTAGAAAGAAAACACTGGCTGTAAAGTGGGAAGAAATTCCTGTATGGACTTGCCAACTAGAAGCAAGTATTTGGCTTCCCCAAGACAAAGGAGAGTCTTAGTCATGAGGTTCAAGGTAGAAACTGATTGTGTCACCAGGCTGAGGGCAGACAACCTTTTTTGGAAGCAGTAGGCTGAAATTAGAACTGAATAAAAGAGTTTACAAAAGCTGGAATTTGGAGCTATCTCACAATACCGGGAGTTATTTTGTTTTTGTTTGCTTACTTTTGGTGAGGTATTTCAGGCACACAAACAAGAACAGAAACTGTGATGACCTCCTCGTACAGCCCAGCTGATCTCATTCCCTCCCTCCCTCCTGAATTTGGTGCTTATATTGCCACACCTGTTGTGTTTTTCCTATATATAAATGTACCCGTTAGCAATATTTAGTATTGTTTTCATATTTTAAGTGTTATATGAAGGCTATCACATTGCAGGTACCTTTCTGCAACTTGCTCTTTTTTTTTTTTTAGATTTGTGCTATGGATAAACAGGACGGCTCCAGTGAATATTTCTTAACTGCTCTGTGGTATTGCACCGTAGGAATGTTTTAGCATTTACCTAATCTCCTATTGATGGCCATCTGGTGAGTTTCCAGGGTTTTTGTTTTGTTTTGTTTGCTGGTTTTTTAACCTTGCTATATAAACATTTTTATAGCACCCTCTCCTGATGCATGTGTACAAGAGTTTCTTTAGTGACATTTACGAGGTCTT